GGGGCAGCGGACGGTGCAGGAGCCCACGGGCTATGTCTAGTCGTGTCTACCGGTCGACTGTCTCTTCGCCGCTCACCTGCCGCTCACCGGCACCTCTGCTGCCCCCTCCTGGCCACACCCCGGATACCGGCGTCCGTCATTCCAGCCGGAAAAGGGGATGTTTTGTGTTTACCTTAACGTAGTCCCTGTTCACCTTCCCTTATCCCCACTTTGTGTTTTGGGTTTTTTTTAATGTATTTTTACTGATTTCAGAGCTGGGGGGGAAGGGGGGGAGAGGGAGAGAGAGAGAAACATCAACGGTGAGAGAGAATCATGGACCGCTGCCTCCTGCACGCCCCACAATGGGGATCCCGGGCCTGTGCCCGGAGTGGGAATCGAACCTGGGACCTCCTGGTTCACGGCTCAACCACGGAGCCACGCAGGCCGGATGCTTATCGCCACTTTGTAGACGAGAAATTGCAGCTCAGAGCCCAGGCCACAGGGAGCTGGTTAAGTGGTGGGGCTGGGAGTTAAGGCCACTGACGGGGCTCCCACCAGGCCACAATCTCCCAGCTCCAGACGCCCCCCTCCCCCTGCACCCTCCCCCTCACAGCTCTGTGACTTCCTCGTGCCTGCGGTTCTCTCTAGGGACTCAGCCCACACACAGGGCCCTGCCCTGGCTGTTTCGCTCAGTGGTTAGTGTCAGTACATCGACCCAGAATCACAGGTTCGATTCCCGGTCAAGGGCATGGACATCAGTCGCAGGCTCGAGCCCCGGCCCCCGTAGGGGTGTGTTTGTGAGGCAACCAATGGACAGGTCTCTCTCCCTCCCACCACTCCCTCTAAAAAAATTAAGGGAAAACATACCCTCGGGTGAGGATTTAAAAACACACACACACAACACAGGGCCCGGGTCCTACAGACCCACCCCGTTGAGACCCTGGGGGTGGGGGGGGAGCGAGGGGGAGCAGGGAGAGGTGGGATGGAGCAGGAGGCGTGTTTTCTGGTTTCTCCCCGGCTGTGTGACTCTGCACCTGTTTCCCCATCTCTAAAAGCGAGGTTCAGCCCGGCCGGTGTGGCTCAGTGGTTGAGCATGGACCTCTGCACCAGGAGGTCAGGGTTCGATTCCCAGTCGGGGCACAGGCCCGGATTGCAGCTCCATCCCCAGTGTGGGGCGTGCAGGAGGCAGCCGGTCCATGATTCTCTCTCCTCATGGATGTTCCCATCTCTCTCTCCCTTCCTCTCTGAACTCAATAAAAAATATATATTTTTTTTAAATAAGAATAAATGCAAGGTGGTTCGGACTTAACCCCTGAGGTCTCTCCCAGCATCTGGCTCTCCATGCAGCCGTGACGCGGGCCGGGTATCACCTTCTCCGGCTCCTCCGTCACTGGTCACTGCCCAGCCCAGGTGGCCCGGGGCCGAGTGCTGCTGGCGGGTGAAGGGTGCAGCGCTTACTCAAAGGGGAGGTGCCCCGCCCCCGGCTGCCTCTCGAACTCCACAGCCCAGGGAACCGGCTTCCCGCCCAC